AGATGCACTGAGAAATCCAGTTTGAAAGTCTCTGGGTAGAAATAGGAGAACCTTTGGAACGCTCCGCGATGGAGACAAAAAATCTAGAAGAGTTTCTAAACAGTTTGGTTCTATCCAAATAGAAGGACAAGGCCCTGCGTACATCTAATATATGCACTGTAGCTTCAAACGAGTTCGCATGTGGTTTCGGAAAAAAGGTTGGTAGGTGTATCGGCTCATTAATGTGGAATGACGAATGCACCTTAGGAAGAAATTTGGGGTGTAATCTGAGGGTAACCTTGTCTTTGAAAAATAGCGTATATGGTGGGTCTGCCATAAGAGCTGCTATTTCTCCTGCCCGTCTGGCGGAGGTAATTGCCACTAAAAATGCTGTTTTCATCGAAAGGTGTAAAAGGGAGCACGTGGCTAGGGGTTCAAATGGTTGTTGAGTTAGGCAAGATAGTACTAAATGAAGGTCCCACAGGGTGGTAGGTGGTTTAATGTCTGGGTATAGGGCTTGGAGTCCCTTGAGGAAACGCTTGGTGATTGGGTGAGCAAAAACAGAAGTATCATCAATTTTGTCATGAAAAGTTGTAATAGCAGCTAAATGGACTCTGATGGAGCTGAAAGAAAGGCCGGATCACTTAAGGTCCAATAGATAATCAAGTATGAGCGAGAGAGATACCGACGTGGGACAAAGTTGTTTAGCTGAACACCAATGTGTGAATCGTTTCCACTTTCGTAGATAGGTGGTGCAAGTAGATTGTGTTCTGCTATGTAGGAGCACTCTTTGAACTTGTTCAGAGCAATCTAGTTCGCTTTGGGAGAACCATGTAGGAACCAGGCTTTGAGGTGAAGCATGGACAGGTTGGGGTGGAGAAATCGGCCGCTTTGTTGCGATAGGAGGTTCGGGAGGAGAGGCAACGAGATTGGTGGTCGAATCGACATTCTGGTGAGGAACGGAAACCACAGTTGTCTGGGCCATGACGGGGCAATTAGGATCACCTTGGCCCGGTCTGTTCGTATTTTTATCAGGACCCTGTTGAGAACCGGTATCGGGGGAAACGCATAGAGTAAGTTTCGGTGCCATGGGATCATGAATGCGTCTCCCAGGGAAGGAGAGGAAGGGGATGGCGTATCCAATTGTAACCACCTCTATGACCCACTTGTCGGAGGTAATGTTTTGCCATTGGTGGGAGAATGGTCGTAGGCGGTGTGCAAAGATATGTGTGCTGGCTGAAGTGGGAACGCTGTTTTCTAAACCCTCGACCAAAGCTTCAAATCTGCCTATTAGTTGGAGGGGGTTGAGGCACCCCCGTCGAATTGGGACAACGACACTGGAATTTTGGTCTCTGGCGTTGTTGCTGTTGTTGTTGCTCCTGTGGTCTATGGGAGTGTTGTGTAAATGCGGGGTAGCGTGGACGTTGGTAAGGTTGTTATCTATATTGCCGTCTTCTGGTCGTAGGTGTCTGGAGACCTAAGGACTGGAGGGTTGCCCTTGAGTCCTTCATTGAGTGAAGCACGTCATTCGTGGCGGAAGCAAAAAGTTTTTCACCATCAAAGGGAAGATCTTCAATGGTGCTCTGGACCTCTCAAGGAAAGAAAGAGGAGGAGAGCCATGAACCTCGGCGCATGACCACTGCTGTGGCGGTCGACCTTGCTGCAGTGTTGGCTACATCGAGGGCCGCTTGAAGAGCGGTACGTGATATGATTTGTCCCTCGGAAACCAGAGCTGAGAATTGTTGTTTTTTCTGTTCTGGGATGTCGTCAATAAAGTCCATGAACTTATTATAGTTTCTGTGGTCATATTTTGCAAGAACTGCAGTATAATTAGCTATACGAAATTGCAGCGTCGAGGATGCAAATACTTTACGACCAAAGAGGTCCAAGTGTTTACTTTCCTTGTTGGCTGGGGTGGAGCGGGAATACTGTTGTTTGGCCCTTTGGTTCGCTGCGTCTACTACTAACGAGTTTGGCGCCGGATGGGTAAAAAGGAATTCAGAGCCCTTAGAAGGGATGAAGTACTTCCGGTCCGCTTGCTTACAGGTCGGTAGGCATGTAGCTGGAGTCTGCCAGATGGACTTAGCAGGTTCTAAAAGGGCTACGTTGATTGGTAATGCGACCCTGGAGGAAGAAGAGGGCTGTAGGATGTCCGTTAACTCATGCTGTTGCTCAGGGACTTCCTCCGAGTTAATTCTCAAGTCACTGGCAACTCTTTTAAAGAGGTCTTGGAATTTTGCATAGTCATCTGATGGTGTTGGAGGAGGGGGAAGTAAGGCTTCTTCAGGCGTAACCTCTGGCTCTACTGGGATAGGAGCAGGACTTGATTGATCCTGCAAGTGTAACGGTGCTGCCTGATGTCTGGTGTCATTGGCAGGTTCGTCAGGTGGTGGTGCTAGATCGGTGTTGCGCCTGGTTGAGGTGGCGTAGCGCGTGTGTTCTCGAGGATACGATGCCCATGGTGCCCAATATTGCCATGGTGGTGGGTAGGGCATAGGTGGTGCCATCCAGGTGTTCACCCCCCAGGGGGCAGGATCCTGAGAATAGGCTGAGGTAATTTTCCTAAAACCTCTGTTGACTGGGGTCTGGGGATGGGAGGGTTGATACGGAGAAAAACCCTCCTGTGGTCCAGTTTCCTCCTCACTGGAGGAAGACTGTTCAAACCCTGACTCTGCCATCGAAGAGAAACTGGCATTCAGCAGGGGAGACTGCAGGCTAGGTGACACCAGCAGATCTCTTGCCTGAGTGAAGTGAAGTGGTGAGGCTCCTGCGTGATGTGAAGGATGTGTAGGAGGGAGTTGCAATGAGGGAACATTCCTCTGAGCCGAGGTTTTGGTTCTTGGCTCACTGCCAATCAGTTCCACGGGTGCAGGTGCCGTGGCCGGTGCCGGGAGGGCAGCATCAGCCTGCAGGGGGTCAGGCAGGGTGTGGAATGTCGGCACCGCATCCGTCGCGGTGCCGAACGGTGCCAGAAGAGAGGCAGGCAGCAGAAAGCCTGAAGCCTCAGCACCGGAGCTTCGCGCCGCCGCCGCCTCAGGCGGTTTTCGCGCGGTGCCGGAGGAGCCCGGCTTGTCAAATGTGCTCAAGTGGGGGAGCACAGGCAGGGAAGCGGTAGATCCGCCCGGGGAGGGCTTGTGTCTCAGGGCTTCCTTTGAAGCTGAGGTAAAGTGCCCTTTCTTATCAGATTTCTTCTGTTTGTTTGAGGCGGGGGGGCTGTGGTGGGCAGCAGAGCCGGAATCAGCGCCTAGGTCTGAAGCCGCTCCTAGGGATTTCCGAAGGAGGAGCATTTTCAGTTTAAGCTCCCTGTCCTTCCATGCCCTGGAGCTGAGTTTTCTGCAGTGGGCACATTTTTGAGGAATGTGGGTCTCCCCCAAACATTTTATACAGTATGAGTGGCCATCTGATAGCGGGATAGCGTCCCTGGAGTTTGAGCAGCGTTTAAAGCCTGTGGAGCCAGGCATGTCTGAAGCCGCTGCCGCTGACAGGATATATATATATATTTTTTAATAAAAATGGTAACTAACTATAACTAACAACAAACTAACTAACTAGAAGGGTAATTGTAACAAGAGAAAGGAATTTCCTAGCGAGTCTGCTGAGCTCCGTCTCAGGCCGCGGACGGTAGAGAAGGAACTGAGGAGACCGGCCACGCATGCGTACTGTTAAGCTAGACTCACAGAGGGGGGGCGGCCTCTGCGCATGCGTGGCCGGTACGAGTACTGCTGCAAAAATCTCCGAGCCAGGGCACAGGGACACACCAGCACCTGGAGTGGAGCACCCACAGGGACATCTCTCGAAGAAGAGCGCAGTGATATGGTTTTAAGGAGTGATAATACCTTGCCCTTCCATGGTGCCCCTTGCCCACAAAGCTCAAAGCACTTTTACAAATAGACTAAATGAAGCCTCAGGTAGGGAATTATTAGCAGCAACCAGAGAAAGTGAGACAGAGAGGAAGCAAGGGACCTGCCCAAGGCGACGGTTAATGTAGAACCCTGAAGTTCTGACGCCATTCCCTGCTTTATACACTAGATCACACCGCTCCAACACAACAACCGGAATTATCTTTGCCCTAGCAAGGTAGAACTCCTCAACCCCGTATCTCTACCTAAAAATTGAAGATAGCTAGCAGGCAGCTGGTAATGTTCTGCCAGTCAGTCTTGAGAGCAGCATGTAACACACTGAGACCTTTCTTTGCAGTGTGGGGCTCCATTAAGTCAATGGAAAGACTCCAATTATCTCCGGTGGGCCCCACATGAGTGTTGAGGAACTTGGGGGAATCAGGCATGCGGCGACTGTGTGGAGAGGTGCAGAATAGGGATGCCACAGCCTCTCAGATGGAGTCCAATTTTTCAGGTGCCTCACAAACCAGCAGTGATTTCCCCACAACACTGCGTAATTGTCTAGGTGCATTACTGGAGGGGTTTTTTGCCTTTCAGACATCCACATGCTGGCCGTTGCCAGAGTCAGGAACCACACCAGACTGGCCAGTGCTTTGATTTCCATGGCAAATCCTAAACCTGCGCTGGATCTCTCCTTGTGTCCCAAGCACAAACATTTGAGACCACTTTACACTGCACAGGCATCCCTCTCACCTACTTACAGAGGGCCAGGTTCTGCAGATCCTGCGCGGGTTGAGTGCTTACTCCCCCGAGCGTTGAGATCAATGGGACGATTTGCATGAGTGGGTGCTACTCAGTGTCAATGTTGCGGAATTTGGCCCTTAGTTCATATTTTGCTGAACACAATGGACCATACGTATCCTTCGTGTAACTGGGCACAGCCACATCTAAATCTACCCAGGGATCTATTGGACTCAGTATCATCCCAGTGCAGCACAATTCTAGAATGATCGTTGTCCTCTAACTGATAGTCACTTCTGTCTACCCTCCTGCCCATAATTTTCTGACACTGCATTCCTTACATTTAGTCACAGCGTTAAGCACAGCAGCATATCACACTGACAGCAGGTACTTACTAATACAATGTAGATTTGGCTCGGTCCAACGGAGTGTTTTGGTGACTTTGTCCATTACACACACAATGAGACTGGATGTCCCAGCTTTCCTTTTGTAACCATCTTTGCATGTGTACCGGAGGCTGGCATTCAACAGATTATTATTGCCGACCGTAACATCTGCATTGTTGACCTCCTTTGGTGTGCTGCATCTTTCTGAAATGAAAAAAAATACAAGCCGAGAGGGAAAAATTTATAAGGCTAAAGATCACAGCACAATATTTTAAATATTGTGGTTAACTCGAAAAATGTCTCTGGCTAGCGCGGTGTGTGCGTGCGCATGTACTCCTTGCTGCCCTCTACTGGGTGCAATATATCTGACCTGGCCTTTAGGTTTGCTCTGTTGCAGAGAAGCCCAAACTTTACAATGCTAGAGGCTGTCCTGAGAACTTGCTCGGAGCCTGAAGTGTGCTCTGGTGGTCAGAACACAAGTATGGAGCTCCTGAGTTCTCTTCCCAGCTCAGCCAGTTGCCATGACCCCTCGGCCATGTCACTTAAAACCACTGCCTCAATCTCTCCATCTGTACAATAGGAATAATGATACTTCCCTCCTGCCCAGAGTTGCTGGGAGACATAATTAATGGCAATCTAATGCTTTGAAGATAATTAGGACTATGTCAACAACTCAGCTGCACAACCCTATTCAGAAAAGGACTTAATTAAGCATGTGCTTCACACATGCTTTTGTTCACTGCACTTAAGCATGTGTTTTGCTTCCAGCTGAGTGCTCTGCCGAACAGGGATGGACTTAAGTACATGCTTCAATACATTCCTGATGTGAGGGCCTACGTCAAATATTTATGAAATGGGCATTGTTCACCAGTAGAACGTTTGCTGTATTATTATTTGTTAAATGCCTACAACAGTGTTTCTCAATCCACAGGTCACAACCTCCAGAGAGGGTTAGACTAGGTAATGGGGGGGAGGGGGATCATGAGGTGTTGCAAATTTTATTTCTCTAAAGCAAAAGAAAATCTGGCTTCCCTCATTCCCTGCAAACTCTTACCCTTCAAGGTCAGGTATTCTCTGTCAACCTTTCAAATCACACTCACAAATAAGTTACACAGGCTAATTGTTAGCATGGATACATTTTTTTACTCTTACAGTAAACATAAGCTTCAGAGTGGTAGCCGTGTTAGTCTGTATCTGCAAAAAGAACAGGAGTACTTGTGGCACCTTAGAGACTAACACATTTATTTGAGCATAAGCTTTCCTGGGCTAAAGCCCACTTCATCAGATGCATGCAGTGGAAAATACAGTAGGAAGATATATATATATATATATATATATATATATATACATCGTTCCCGTGTATATATATATATATATATATACGAGGAACA